TGTTGCGAGCTGTCAGAACCTTCTTCAATCCTGCAACTAGTCTCTTTTTCAGCACTGTGATCACTTCGGCTAGTCTTAAACAGTGTCATCTACATAGAGGCTGCAGTCAAGATGTCTTCAATATCCGGAGAGGTTTCTTCTAGGGATAACAGACCTGCTGCAAGGTCTTCAAATCTGGAAAGCCCTAATCTGCACAGCTTGCAGATTACAAGTGTGCTGCTGGGTGAATACAACTTCAGGGAGTGGTCCGTTTCTGCAATGTTTTTTATTACTTCCCGTGATCTCACAGGCTACTTAGATGGGAACAAGAAGGAACCTGAGGTTGATAGTGCAGAGTATGCTGTGTGGCGCAAGGAGAATGCCACAGTTATGTCCTGGTTGCTTGCCTCTATGACTCCTCGSGWTGCCAGGACTGTTCATCACTTTCCTACAGCAGCCAAGATTTGGGAAAAGGTGTCTAAAACCTATGGACAGAAGAAAAACAATGCTAGAATCTACAGATTGAATCAAGACATTGCTGCCTTAAGGCAAGGGGATATGACAGTTAAGGCAAGGGGATATGACAGTTGCAACATACTTTGCAACTCTGGAAGGTCTTTGTGAAGAACTTGACCATCACTTGATATTGGATTAGGAAAATGCCAGGAACTTGACCAACTCTGGAAGGTCTCTTTAACTTGGATCGATATCAAAGATATTTAGAAAGCTTCTATTCTAGCCCCAAGTGCCACTTCAAACTCCCTTTATACCCCTTAATCTAAAAACTCTCCAGTTAGCTGGTTTTCGGGAAACTCTCCAAGAACCTATGTATAGGATTAAAGAGAAAAAAAGGAAGAAGGTAGGAACTCCACTCTATACAAAGATAAAAATCCCACCTGCAATAATCTGAAATAAAATAGAAAAGGGAAGAGAGACAATGGAGAAAGAAGATGGAAGCAAATGGAAGGAAGGAAGAGAGTAATTGAACCTCTCTCAAGCTCCCACAATTGTGTTTTATTATTTGATTGTAAAATGGACATAATTACATTAATACCCTCTAGTAGGGTGGCCAGCACTAGAAACAATAATAAAAGAAATAAAACAGGCCCATAACTAAGGCCTGCTAATTACAGAAATAAATAAACAATATTGAACTATGGCCCATCCGACCCATTATCCCTACAAATTCATTGAACTTTCATTAAATGTTTCTCTCATTATTTGCCATTTTGGTGAATCTTGGTAGGAGGTGTCTCTTTTGTATAGGCTTTCCTTTTTTAAGTTATGTCAACAACATTAAACGTGCAATTCCATTGATGTTAGTATCCGTGTATAACATATACAAATATATATATATATAATATATAATTAATAAAAAAATATATACAAATATATATAGACTGTTGAATATTGAAAAATCTAAAATTGGTTTTTTTATAGACTGTTGAAGGTATTTCTAATGCAACAGCAATTCAGCTTGATGTAACAGATCATGGAAGCCTTTGCAAATATATTTCTAAGGTAGAGTATTTCCCATTTTCCATTAACATGTTTGAGTTCATTAAATCCTTTCAAATTATCCATATTAGTTTTCTGAATTAGGAGAAAACTATGCTGATGGAAAGACATGACACTAGAAGGGATTTGACCAATCAAAACCTCCTGAGTTTTAATAAATACCACCTGATTGGTTACCACTTTTATGATACCAGTTCATTGGTTACAAGTTTTTTCGGTATCACGTCTTTTTGGTATCATAGTCAAATCCTTGAATTATCATCATGTTGATATAATTTTCAAAATTATATTTCAAAAAAAGTTTCAAAACACAATATCTTACCTCCCTTTTGCACTAATTTGGAGACAAATTATGTCTTCGAGTATAATAACCTCAGTTTGATTCCAAATTCTATATTTTTATGACATGAGTTCAAATATCATAGATCACTTTATTAGTTTAAAAGTGGTAAACCTTTAGGTATATTTGCATTTTCTTTTTTCTTTTCATGATAATTTTCTTATATTAGACATGTTTATGAGCTTTCTAAACCATGATTGTAGTCATATGATGGCTCTCTGTATTATCTGCCTTATGCAGGTTGACATTGTTATAAGTTTATTGCCTCCTAGCTTCCATGTTATAATAGCAGATGCTTGCCTTGAGGTAACTTTCACTAGTTATGTTGGTGTTTGATTACATAATGGATTCTCATCCCCAACTTCTTTAATTTTCTTTCAATCAATAAGTTGTTGTTAATAGGTTGATTTTTTTTAACAAAATTCACCTTCCATCTCTCCTTAATGATTTTCCTGTGTCAAAAAATACTGAAAAACAAGGTGAATATCAATAAAGTAGATATTCACTTGTGAACGCCCTTCCTTATTTCAGTCGAGGATATTAATGATATTGTGTCTCATTGCAGTTCAAAAAACATCTTGTCACTGCTAGCTACATTAATGATGCTATGTCAAGATTGGATGATAAAGCCAAAAGTGCCGGTATTACAATTCTTGGGGAAATGGGTTTGGACCCTGGCATAGGTGAGATTCTCAAACATCTCTAGTTGTATGTTCAACAAATATAGTGGGCCTATACTTGTTGAACATTAATCTATGATCTATGATGTATTTATTTTACTAAAACTTTTACCCCAAAATGGATGGGATCTGTGATTTTCCAACATGTTCAAGAGAAAATACTTTTGAGGGTGCGCCTTGGCACAACAGTTGGGTTGCTCTATTGTGACCTGGGTGACCAGGGTTCAAATATTAGAAACAGCCTCTCTGTATGTGCAGCAGGGGTTAGGCTGCATACATCTGCCCCTCCCACACCCCACATTGGTGGGAACCTCATGCGCTGGGTTGCCCTTTTCAAGAGAATATACTTTTGGGGAATCTGTTTGTTGATGTCTCTATCCTATAGCTTTGTAGTTACTCTTCATTTTTGTGTATCTTGGAGCAAGATCTAATTATCATGACCTTCTATTTTGTTTCTTTATTTGGGGATTAACACAGATCTTTAGGTGGGTGGTCTATCACCTATGGAGTTTAATTCATATTACATTGATAGACAGTCTGTAGGATCTATTTTACATGTTCCTTGGATATCCTTTTGTCGGTCCTTTTGGTAATTTGTATCATAACATCACTGAAGAGCACAGCAAAGACTGCTTTTCTGTAGGTGTTCATAATTGATGAAAGGAATTTCCCAGTGTAATTTAATTATAATTATTACATTAGCAATCTCATTATAAACAGATAAATATAGGACATTGACTTTTCTTAACCAAGAGGTCATTGCAGTTTCTTATTTGGGCATATTGAACACTTATTGAAACTTCTCTTTCGACAAAACTTATTATGTATTCCATATCTTCAGCCGTTATTTTATATAATTAGCCTTGTACATTATCTTATTTATTTTATATAGAGTTACATGAACTAACTTTTGTTGAAATAAATCTTGAAGTATTACAATCTCTCCCTAGTTATGTCAGACACCTATCACTGCTATCTCCAATATTCATATCATTGTTCCTGCTATTTAATATATTTTGATAGCTTTATACTTCATATTGTAATGTCATCTATGTTAGTCTCTTTCATTCTTAAACATTATTGAGTATTTGAGTGAGAAAGGTTACTTTCTGCATAATCTGTATATCATTTTTCTGGGGTCAAATCTATGTAGATCCAATCACACTGCAGAGTCCAAGTCAACATTTTTTTATCTTGAAAAAAGAAAAAAAAAAAAGATGTGCCAACCCCATATAGTTGGGATAAGGCTTGAATTATGATAAAAAAAGATGCCAATTACTGTTATTTTATTGAATTTAGTGTATGGACCATTTGGCATGTTAAGCTTTCATATGGTCAGTTCTCAAGCATTATTTATTTCATTCCTTTGCCAAAACACATCACATACAAAATTCTTGGTAATTGTAAAAATTTTCATCTTTCGAGATAATTGTAAGAGCATTAATTCCTCATAAGAGAAATGGACAAGTAATTGATTCCTTGTTATTTTCTAACTATTATCCATAGAACAAAGTAAAAATTATGTTGTTGGGTTAGGCAGTGGGCTGTTTTATTTCTCTTTGTTTATTCTAGTATGGGCCAGACCTTTCTTTTTTTTTAGTGTAAATTGCAGATAGGTACCCTGTAATTTAGGGTAGTCTGACTTTAGGGCCTGAACTTTCAACTTTGTCACTTTAGAACCTGAACTTTCAGAAATATACATTTAAGTCAAACTCCGCTAAACTAATGTTATAGTGATGGTTAAAATTACAAAAATGCCCTAATTATGATTCTCTTTTTTCACTATTCAACTTATAACTTTGGACTTTGGACAAAAACCAGTGGTAGCAAGCTCACCCTGTTCTGTTCAATGGGGATAAGTCCCACTTTCGAACACTTACTTTGCTGCCGCTGGTTTGTGTCTGAAGTCCAAAGGTAGAAAAAAAGATTGACGGTGAAAAAGAGTCACAAGATGGGCATTTTCATAATTTTACCCCTCACCGTAACATTAGTTTAACAGAGTTGGACTTTAAAATATATATTTCTGGAAGTTCAAGTACTAAAGTGGCACATTTGAAAGCTCAGGCCCTAAATTGAGACTACCCCCATTGTACAAGGTACCTATCTGCAATTTACCCTATTTTTAATTCATTACTTCATGTTATAACTACTGCTGCCTTATGTACTTCAGGTTATATAGGGGGAAGTTACAAGTCTGCCCCTCATAAGACAGCAGCAGTTATAACATGATGTAATGAATAAAAAACAGGTGCAGCCCATACTAGAAGATCCATAACTAAAGAATAAAGAAAGAAAGAAAATAAACATCCCACTACCAAATCCAACAACATAAATTTTTACTCTTTTCTACATTATCTCATAAAATAACAAAAGAATTTTCCCCAAGAAGTTATTATTGGCATTTATCAAGTGTGCTAATTTGGCACAAGCCATTTTCTACATATGCATATGTTATTCTAACAAAATCTCTATTTCCTTTATTCATATGAATGTGCTATCTTCTGTGTTTTTTTTTTATTTTATTCTCTTGATGACATCCCACAAAAGATTAATGAAAAACAGATAAGAAAATTATCTAGAGGCCTTCACTCTTGAAAATGATTTCCTGTACAAGATTTTTAATCATGAATACCATATTGGCTTCTACAGATCATATGATGGCAATGAAGATGATCAACCAAGCCCATATAAAAGGTGGGAGAATAAGGTCTTTCACTTCTTATTGTGGGGGACTTCCATCTCCAGCAGCTGCAAATAACCCATTGGCATATAAGTTCAGGTATTTCTTAAATTCTTCATAGTGAGCAAAATTATTTACCTTCACTCTGTTGTGCAAATTTCAGTGAGATTTGTCATAGTCTATTAGGAAAGATGCCATAAATAAATTATCTGCATGTGACAAACCTAACTTCTACAGTGGCATCAATGAGCATTGATGCTTAGCTTGGATTTATGAATATGGATAACAATGAAGTTTTTTTTTTTTTTTTGATAATTGAAATGATTTTATAAAACAGCAATAGACAATAGTACAAAGTCCTCAAGGAAAGGTACAAGTTGCAACCTCTCCGGGCTAGTTAAGTACAGATTTCCAAATTAATAACAACTTACATAGAAGCACAAAAAAGATCTTC